AGCAATAGGCCCACTGAAAATGCACGAATTAGGATTACTCTTTCGCCATAATGAACAATGAATATAGACATTATGATTACTTAATTACCATAATTACAAGAATATTATTTTCTTAAATACAGTAAATCATCTCCCTAATTACAGTATTACTATATTTACATATTTGCATATTTGTAACAGAAACAAACCTAGAAATACAGGCATTCTGCTCCAGCCAAATATAGGCTGTCATATAATTATGTCCTCTTTCTTTTCACTAAAATGTTTATAGAACCATAAAAAGTAGTGCAAAACACACTCAATGGCCCCCTAGGATCCTAAAAATGTTCCATATAAAAGTAGTTGCTTCCTATTTCTGAACTAGATTTACATAAAATAAATTGTGAGAAAGAGCAATACAATCCCTATGAAGCAATCTATCATTTTCTATTAATTCTATTGAGTACTGTTGTCCAAACAAAAGATTTGATAATCTTGGAAGGAGTTGTAGAATCCCATATGGTTTTGTCCAGTGGGAACAATTGATGGTTAGGAGAGTGAGCAAGAGTTGAAAGGATTTACAAACACCAGATTCCAAACTCTTGTTTGGATATGGTTCCTTGTAAGCTTAAAATTGAAATAACCTACTGATTATATTTTTGCCTTGGTCATTTGATGGCCAAATCCTTACTAGTTTGAGGTTTTCTAAAATTGGTCACATTTTATTTCTAAAAACACATACTTACACCTGTTCTAACAGAATTACTTTAGGATTGAAATAGCTGCCATAACTAAGAGCAACATAGGCATTGCTGTTATGTTTAGTGAAATATTCTTCCCACAAAACCCTGAGTTTTATATATACATTGAGATAAAACCCTGAGTTTTAAGGAGTTTGAAAGGGAATATATTTTAGTTTCAAAACTAAAATATATTCCCTTAAAAAAATAATAGTATAATACAAAAATTGGACATAAAAAATAAGTGGTCTATTAAGTTCTTGCAAAAATAGATTAACATAGTATGTTACAAATACTAAAAATAGCAATAAAAACAATGATTTGTTGTTATAAAAATAGTAAAAAAATGGCATGTTCAAAAATAAGAAAAACAAATATTTGAGTTGTCGGGCCAGTCCGTAGAAGCCCGTAGCCCGCATAGGGTAAGGCTTGAACAATAAAAATATAAGTCCATTTTTCCCTTGGGCTAATTAAGCCCGACCAGTTTGACCCTGCTACCCGTATCGGACCCGGTCGGGCTGCCCGTTTTGACAGCTGAACCTTAAATATCTCTTCCCAAATTCCTAATCAAATTTAGCACTTGCATTATTTGACTTTCTCATTAGCTTCATACTTTTGCTTAAGAAAATTATAAATGGCCTTGTTAACTTCGAGAGTCCTAGAAACAGTAGAAAATAGCAAAGATTTTGCTTTAATTTTTATTCTTTTCTTTCCTTATAAAACTTGATTTAATTAAACTATGGATTTTTTTGGTAACAAACCAACCTCATAAGCTCCCTCAATAGTCTCTCAAAGATCATTTGCATCAAGAAAAGCTTTTATTCTAATTGTCCATGAGTAATAATTCTCATCCTAAAAAATAGATAATATTATGGTTGGTTATCAAATTCTATTTTTAATTCTAAATGTAAGTATATAGGTGTTTTGTGGAACTCAGCCTTACCAGATCCCTTAAGAACAAATGATGTTATGATTACCAATTATTAGAACCAAGAAATTTAAGAACCTGTAAAAAATAAAGTTGAAATTCACATTTTTTTTATGCTAACAACTTTTAAATAAAATAAATTATGACTAGAAATTGATTTTAATAAATTACAAATAAAGCTATCTATAAATTTGTAAGAGGTCATTTAACACTAATAATAGATACTAATTTAGATATTAGACAAAGATAAATAACAAATCCTCACTAGCATACATAAGAAATGTTAGCAACACTCTCTTTTTAATATTTTTAATTATTAATTTAAATTTATTAAAAACTATAAAAATCATAAGTCTTACTTTTTTTGTTATCTTCATTTAATATTTTTCACTTATATTTTTGTAATTTTTAATAATTTTTCTTTCCAATAACAAGGAGTATATTAAAGAGTGAATTACAAATATTTTCTAACATATAATAAATCCATAAGCTACTAACAGCGTGTTTGGTTTTACTAAATCTACTCAAACATAGATATATTTTAACGTTAAAAATTATAACTTTCAGGTTTAATATAATTTAACATGATTTTGTTTAGACTTTAAACATGTACTAAGACTAGCTTAGAGTTTAACTCGCATTTGATGGAAATGATGTACGTTGTAGGAGAGCTCCAAACACATCAGTCAATAATTGTACTTATGTCTCTGAAATACGTACGTTCGAGAAAAAAAAAGCGTAACCAAACATCCATTGAAGGTGTATGCAATAAATGGAATTCATTTTCATTCCATCGAATATTTAAGGGTGAGCACCGGTCGATTTTGGTTGAATTCAGATAGAAAAACTCATAATTGAAGTAAATTAATCTCCGACCGAGACCTATCAGATTAGGCGGGTCTTAGTTATGATAACCAGTAAATTCGACAGGTTTTAACTAAAACACAGTCTGTGTCACTTCTAGTGTTTTGCAAAGTTTGACTTTGAATGACATCATTGTTGGTGGTATTAGTGTTTTTCTCTCCTTTTTCAGACTCATGCCACCATAACTCATTAGGTAAGAAAGCAAAGGAGTTCAGGTTTGGACAGGAGTAAAAAGCCACAACTAATGAACCTAGTCTGAGAGGAGCAAGAAAACAAAAGATAGATCCAGTTCGAACAAGGAGAAGCTAAGAAAATGAGGGTTGAAGCTTGGAAAAGCATGGAAGTAGTGAAAAAATAGCATAAAAGGTGGAAAGGACTGGTCAAAATCTTTGGCTGTGATGTCATAGATAAACGAAATTGACGAGAAACAATTCGGAAACAGGTTGAATTGGTGAATTCGGGTTGATCGGAACATTAAGCTATTTTGCAAGTACTGTACCAAGTTGGAAGTGAGGTGCTTAAGGTTGGACCCGTAGTACGAAACCATGAAGATTGAAAAAGAAGGTTGACACGGTGAACAGTCATTATTATCCGTTTCTGCATACGAGAGGAATGTCATACTTCAGTAAATGAAATTAATTTTATCATGGATTATCCTCGTGTGTGGTTCACTCTTCTTAGTAGGCCTACACATTTTTCAGTTCAGATCGGTTACTGAAAAAATTAATATGATGCCGCACCAGAATTTATATATCCATTTTAAATTGAAAATTTTAAAATATTTATTCAATACCTAGTGTAACTCACTTGCTACAACTTTTTTTCTTTTCGATCACCGCACTTTCGGTCAGATTATTAGGTGATGATCACCACAATCATAGAACTGTCGCAATTAAATTTTCTAACTGATGAAAAAAGTCATTAACTTTAAGTGAATGTGGACCATCAACTTTAAAATTGATGGACAAGATTTAACCGTCAACAAGCAAGAAAGAAAAAAACTCAACACACATTGCTGATGAAATCTTGCCCGTTAATTTTGAAATCAATGGCCGAAATTTACCCAAAATCAATAACTTTTCCTGCCACAAAGTTGGAAAATCTAAACGCAATTGCAGGCCAACTAGGGAAAGAAAACAACGTGATGGTAAGAAGTTTCTAGCGGCAAGCATGATTTGGGAAAATCTACGGTGCCGTGTTGTTTTCATCCTTGTCGTTTTCCTTTCTCTTTTTCCTTTTTATTTTAATGATTTGTACAAATCTTTTCTGATTTTTTAAAATAAAAAATATTTTTAGTATTTTTTTATACTTATTTTATTTAGAAAAAGGAACGAAATAAAACCAAGATAACAGTTTTTTCTGACATATACCCGACGACACACGTTAAAAAATCGAAAAACGAAACGGAAACATTATTTTGAAATCAAACGGTTCGGTGAAGCCCTTTTTTCTTGCGATTTTGCTGTGAAACTCGGCTTCTTTTGTCGTTTGGCTCCGTAGATGGTGCCGTCTTCAAGGACATAATGAGTCTGGAAATTGCGGTTTAAGTTCAGCGTTGAATTGGGTGACAGAATCTGGTTTTAGCGGGTAGTGGTTGAGCTCGTGAAACGGATGGCAGAAAATGGCTATGGCAAGTTGTGGGGCAGACACAGGCATTGGCTGATTTGCAGTCCAATAATCTATGGCATTGCCATTGGTGAGCCTCTACAACCAATTACAAGTCTTCCAATCCCTCTTTGCTGCAGTCCCAATGCGAAGTTGCGATTTGCGAACACTATTCCCAATTAAGTCTTTCAAGCGAACCCAACAAGAGGGAAATGAATCTTGAGAAACGATGAGCGGTTTGAAGGGCTAGTCATTGCTCATCACCAAGAGAACATCCATGACACTGTTTCAGATTAGATAGTTGGTGACTAAAAGCCGTATTGAACATAGCTGGCGATTCACATGAACTTTTTATTTGACACGCAACCCATACTCAAGAATCAGCTAGCACTTCCTTTTCCTTTTCATTACCCGTTTCGGACTAAATCTGCATTAAGATTGTGACTCATGAGGCAGTGTACTGATAGAGAAGTTAACAGGTTGCAAATTGATCATTTCTGCCGCTGATCAATTTTAAAATGAAAACTACGGTTTAAATCATTACTTGGAGCATGCCACTGATGCTCCTTAAGTTACATAGAGCATAGAAGAAACCAGGTAGTAGGAACACCCATTCATCGTAGTCAATCACAAATGCCACCTCACTTGGCAAAACTTCTGACAAGCTAATAAAAATTACTATATAGATAAACGTTAAACTGGTTCAAGCACTGTAACTCACTGGAACCCAACCCTCCCCCCAAATAAAAAAGGCCTACGGATTATTTATGGTTATGTTGTTTTGAAGCAAATCAAAAGATGTTCACTAAAGAGTTTACATCCCCAGGTGAGAGCAAAGGCATAAAAACGAGAGTATATTTTGAAATTCACAACGATAAGATATGCTAAAACGATATCGTAGAGATTCTATATATAAATATGGCAATTTGTTCCCAAATAGGTTAAGTACAAAAGTTCTAACAAGAAAGCTCTAGCTAATACGTTAAATACGGGTAAAGCCTACCTAAAGACATCTATACTGAAGGAACTCATCTTAACCAACAAGTCGAGAAAACAACCATTGTCAGTCCCACTGAAGACCTACCTTCACCTTAATTCATAACCAAGTATACTGTTAAAAGGCCAGTCAAACATATCAACAATTTGCAGCTCATCAAGCAGGTGAGACCCAGAACCTCTTCTATGAACTTAATGGTTGGCAAAGATTTTCAGGATCAGATTGTTAATGCTGTACAATATCTAAACTCTACCAGTTTTAACAGTAACAAAGAAAAATATGATCGAAGGGGTGGTTATAATCCTATCCTAGGCTTTGATACTTCAAAGTGATGTCTACTTCATTGCCAGCATACCATATACAGTATTTGATAGCTCCAACAGCTGCTGCTCCATTTTTTCTTTCCATTTGAATAAATCCATGAACATTTCCTGTGAGAAAAAATTTTAAAAATATTGAATACATTGTCAAACAAATTTAAAAATATTCAAAATTTTACAAGTAGGTATTTATGTACAGTATCAACATCACCTGAAACATAATCAATGAATTGTCAATGTCTGACTTTGAATTAACAGTTGTAGAAGAATCAGGGGTCACATTCGGTTGATCTTCTTGTCTAGCAGGCACCAACTCCAGCACATCGCTATTATTTTGAAGGAAGAAATGAGGAATATTAGAAGAAAAATAACATTCTTTTCCTTCTTGGTTCTTTTTTTCCCTTGAAAGGTGCACAGGGTATGGGAGTGGGGTAATGAAATTGACTTTGCATATCTTACCTCTTCTTGTTTGTCAGTTCTTCATTGGGTAGCTGAGCTGGTATGGTTGTGTTGGGATCTTCAAGTACAACCTCTTCTGGAACATTAAGTAGTTCTGAATTCCCAATCCAAGTTGCAAATGCATCCTCCTGAATATTCTCTAGGTTGGTGCCTTCTATCCAATCTTTCCATCTTTCTGAACCAGGACTAAAAGTGGTGCATTCCCTTGATGCTTGGAGATCATTCAGTTTATTGGTTATTTCCACAAGCTGTTGCTCAATTTTAGTCTTCCAAGTCACCAGTTCACCATACTTTCCCTGTCAACATATAAAACTACAGTGAGAACCAGAGATGGTATAAATGAACAAATCAACCAACTAAAAAATATTCAGTGTAACATGAATCACATTAAATCTTAAAAGGATGAACAAGTGACAGCAATATACTGCTTAGATACCTGCACACCCTGCAAAGAAGCAATGATTTCAGTCAGGCGACGGTCAGTCATAGCTTTCCACTTCACAAATTCCTTGTGAGTATCCTGCCATAGCAACTCAACACAAAACATCATGAAGTGCTATATGATACAGCAAATCATCGAATTATTAAATTATTCAACATTCACCTCCATCATACTGATCTCATTTTTCTCTGGCTTCTTGGCAATGAGCTCCTGCATATCTCTGTTATGCAAATAAAATCATTTAAGAAAATATAATAGCAACCATACAAAATTATTTTGGAATTCAGTCTCGAAGTTCAATACTTCTTCATTTGGGCCAATTCTACTTTAAGCTGTTTCAATTCACCAGAAGAATCAGTGTTCTGGGAGGGGGCACTGCCTGCCCTATATGTAGATGGCGGTATCCAGTAAGGGTCCTGTACCCCTGCCTCCTGGCGGACCTTGTCCAAGTCAGCACTTTCCAACCAATACTCCATGATTCCATTGGTGTTGAACCATCTTCGGAACCTCTCACTCCCTCCAGGTGCAACTTTGCCATCAATGTGCTTCAGTAAGTGGTCTAAAAGTCCAGTATCACCAATGTGTTTACGGGCAGCCAATCTTAGCGCAGGTCGGGTTATTGGGTTTTCAAATGTGGCACCTTCAGCCTTTAAAACCTCCCACATGTTTTGCTCAGCCAACTTATACCTACATCACACGATTACATCATATATATTATATATATGGTAATAATAAGGAAGATAATTCAGAAAGAATATCACATATTTTCTTTACCTCTCGGCTGACCATCTGTCCCTACTTTCATGCTTTTTTGACTTAAGCTTGCTATTGCTTTGTCTTCCACATGATTCCTCTTTCACCTCTTTAAGCTGACTAAGGCTAAGTCGCTTCCGTTTCTTAATTTCATGCACAAAGACAGGTTCAGTTTTAATGATTTTTTCTTCTTCATCGTTTGATTCCTCTTCCTTAGAAATATCAGAAGGAGGCTGACTTCCATCTTCCTCATGATGACCGATGAACATGACTCCATGATGAACACCCCACTGATCCATCAGTGCAGCTCTGTTTACCTCAACTGATCTGTTGGTTCTCACAAGTTCCGTACACTCTAGAAGCACATATGAATCTTGATACAGTAACCTGCATCAGTAATGCGTGAAAAATTGAAAGAGAACCCAAAAGTTTGGTGAATAACGCCTACCTATTGAACTTCCTACATATCATGGTAACGCTTTACGTCATCAGAGATCTTCCAAACACAATTAAGAAACTGAACTTAACCTGCTATTGGTGGAAGTACCCAACCCAATATGGACTGTACTGCTATCCAACCATTCATTTCCGTAAAACTGGCACGTTACATTTAATTTGAGATTTTGTTTCTATCTGTTATTATAGTAAATTAACTACACAGACATTCCATATTCCAAAACCATAACAACTTCAAAAATTTATTTAAGACCAGGCCACGAAAACTTGCCACAATTTTGGCTCAACAACTTTCTTGGGAAAGAATCACTAAATATCCAACGTGAACAGAACCCACAATTATCCTTGAACTACCAATACCATATCATGTTCGCAACTAAAGTTCATTATGTTGAAGACAATGGGAAACTTAAGCACACCAAATAGCGCATACATTAACGAACACCACCAAATCAAAAGAAAATCCCACCTCAGAACACTCAATCCCTCGGCACACACGAGTAAACAAAAAACTTATCTAACTGTTACATTACATACCCCAAGAGGCAAAAATTGGTAAACAAACCCTACAATCAAGATCTCTCATTACATCACCGTCTTCCAGTAACCCTAACAATCAAATCAAACAATATAAGTGTCAGCGAAACCCCACCCGGACAACTAATTTCTAAAGGTAAACCGAAAACGTTTAATCTTCCCAAAACACATTGGCGTCAGAAGCAAATCTGAGAACGCAAAACACCAACGAAAATTGAAAAAACTCATTCGATTCGCATACAATGCGATGAGATTAGGGCAACGGAGCACCAGAATCCCCAATTTAAATATCAATTAGGAAGCACTACAACCAAAAACCTAACAATCTTACATGCGAAACGCGAATTAAGAAGAAGAAAGAAAAGAAGAACGGAATCGGAAAGAGAACCCTACCAATGAGTGAAGCGCGAAAAAGAGGAATGAGAGAGAATGGCCGACAGCACTGTGCGACCAAACGAAACCCCAAAGCCGTGACTGCTGCTCCAAATAACGTTAGGAGAAAAACGAATCCCTTTTCTTTTGTTTTTATTTTTAATATTTTTTACTTTCTCTATCTTATAAACTCCGGAGCTAAACCCTAACCGTCAAAACCCCACAAAACCCTGAAATCATTAATCACTAAGAATAAAATAATTGTTTTTAATCAGAATCTTGGGTCCCACACTTTTGGCCTCTTTCTCTTGGCCATGGGCAACACCATGGGTTCCCCATCTAATTTTCAGTTCATCCGTAGTAAATACTCTTGAAGCAATCCAGGTACTCTAATCCATGATACACCAATGATCGACTTGTTTGTGTAAGCCATTTTTTAAAATGTCATTAAGTTAATCAAAATACTAGTGAATGATTTGTTGCCTTTTTAAAGTCAGCCGTGTAATAAGTAACAAATATTGTTTAATTTGGTTGATACTATTTTTTTTTATTATTCACACTTTTATTTTTATTGCGAATTTTAAATTTAATTTTTAAAAATATTTAAAATTGATTTGTGTACCAACTAGAGGAATAAAAATCCATGATAATTTAGTTAGAATGGATTAAATAAAGGTATTTATTATGTTATTGTATATTTTTTGTATTAATTTAGTTAGAATGGATTAAATCATTAATTTCACTGATTATTATTTTAAAATCAACAGTTATGATTATTTTATGTAAAAGAAGACATAAAATGTCTTCTTAATTTATAAAATACTGTAAAAATTATTTTAAATTAAATATTTATAAAAGTTTTTTGAACTAAATATCATACATTATCACTAATAGAATAATGATTTAAAAAAAATAACTTGAAACCATAAGAACACGGGACTTTGAGATACTTCATTAAATTAAGGATAGGTCACACTTCTTTTTTTGAGATTGGATTAGTATAGTAGTAAAACATTTTGAGTTAAGGCGCAGTAAGAGTACATGCCTAAATATCAACTTCCTCTGAAAGATGTTAAAAAAATTTATTGTTTTGATTTGCAACAACTGATTATAAGTACACTAAATACCATTAATCAAACACTTGTGAATTTTATTTTATTTTTAAATATAGTTTGAGCATTATAAAGGATATTTTTCTCTCTAAATTTAACCTTTTTCTATTTTTTAAACTTGAATATTTTTTTCTTGCTTTAGGATATTTTGTTAATCAAGGTAAAGACAAACTTAAAGGCTACATAATGAATGAAAAAATCTTATTGCAAAGATCTTTGAATTCCTTTAAGCCTCTTTTTAATATTCAAAAAAAGAAACCTTTTATCATCTTTATCAAATAACTTGAATAGGATTATTAGAATGAAAGATTAAGAATCTCTAACCAGGATAGGATAAAGTTTATAAAGGCAAATCACTTCAAAATGAAAATTTTATTCTAAATTGTAGTCTAAATTTCTCCACACCACTAAGAGAATTATTGGGTTATGATCAAAGTAAACCATAGTCAAATTTTTTACAATAACTTCTAAGAAAGCATTTACCAAGGTTTTACAAATGTAATGATTCAATCTTTTAACCATCATTTGAAAGCTTTTAGCCTCTCTAAACCCAAGTGTAATTACTACTCGCAATACGAACATTTAACATATAAAAAGTCTAAAATCAAAGCAATTTTTTGAGCTCTTATAGAATAAAAATTACAATCAATTTGATCAGTCCTAAAATTTATCTCATTAAAATTATCTAAAATGACTAAACCTTCATTTTGGTGTTTAAGAGAGTTTGTATCTTATATTTTAGTTCTTAAAAAATTAAAAATATCATATTAATCCCTAATTTTCATTTTCGTTGGACATTTAATAGAATGCTGACATGTCACATTAAGTGACATGTGTCATTGCTTATGTGGTAAAATGACGCTGACATGTCACATTACATGACATATGTCATTTATTACGTGGCTAAAAGACGTCGTATGTAGTATAGTATATATTTTTGTTTTATTTTAGTCCTTAAAATTATAGCTCGTCAAACATTTTAATCCCTAAGTTTGTCACCGACAAGCATTTTAATCCTTGAGAGAAAGAAAGTAGAGAAAGATGGTAGAGGTTCTGTTGAAAGAGGATCTAGTGGATGTGATGATAAAGAAGGTTCATGTGGAGCTGTATTTGCGAGCTGGTTGGTGGCTTTGCAAGAAGGGGAATGGAAGGAAAAAGGGATTGGAGTTCTTGCACTCGTCAAATGATAAAAAAGTCATGTTGAAACCTTTGTCGTTGTCTTAACTCTTTGTAAACTGCAGCATCATCAAGACCAATTGAACCTATCATCTTCAAGTTACACCATGTAATATATTGCGCTCACACTAATAATAGCTTTATCACTTACAACTCAAGATTTTGTGCTACTGTGAAGCCTAAATACTGGATATGAATACATGCATATATACAAAGGAAAACTACGAAAAAGAAGAGTGTGTAATCACATTCCCACAAGAAGAAGCTAAAGATGATGTAAAGGAAAGATACAAAGATGAAAGTAAAACAAACCCAGAAAGCAACGAGTTATAATCTTAAGGACTGAAATGTTTGTCATTGACAATCTTAAACACTAAAATGCCTGACAAGTTATAATCTCACGAATTAAAATGAAACAAAAACATATATTATACTACATACAATGTTATTTTTGTCATGTAATCAATGACAAGTGTCACGTAATGTGACATATCAGCATCATTTTGTCACATAAGCGATATCACGTGTCACTTAACATGACATGTCAACATTTTGTTACTGTCTATTAACAGCATCTGGATTTAAGGACTTAAATACCCAACAAAGATGAAAGTCAGAGACTAATGTGACATTTTTAATTTTTCAGGAACTAAAATGCAAGACACAAACTCTCTTGAAGACCAAAATGAGAGTTTAGTCCATCCAAAATTAACCAAGGTAACATGATGTGTCTCAAGTTCATAGGTTGCCACAAATTATCTCTTAAGGATAGAATTGGGCTAGCATAAACACTACTAATAACATATGCTTTGCCCCCCATAATTTTGTTGAAATTGTAACTATTTGGTAAAAAGAATCAAGAACTAAGGTAGTGAAGCCAGAGTGTTTTTGAATCAAACACCATATTTCTCTTATGTTGCACATTCTTAACCACCACTACAACATAGTTAAATTTGTCCCAAAATTTTTAAGTAGTTTAAAAATCCATATGTGTTTCATAAAGGATTAAAGGAACACAACAACACGATTAAAACGAAATATTAACTTTTGTGCATATCTTTGTTGATGGGTATTTCTCATCCCCTAATATCCCACGACAAAAAATTAAGATCTTTGAATTCTATCATATGAACAAATGAGAAGGAGAGGTGATCAAGATAAAGAGATTAAGCATTCCTTTATCTCATTATAGGACCGATGTTTAATGATGGTTTATATTTTTGTATGGTACTTTCTTCAACAACCAGTTCATTCAAAGTCTTCATAAGAAAATTTTTAAATGCTTCTTTGAATATAAATTTCAACATAGTCCCGATGGGTCTTTTATGACTTTTTTTTTTAAGCTCATACTTCTTATCTTGCACATTATTCAAAATTGGTGACTTTAATATTGTATGCCAATACTACTCCTCCATTTTTCACGTTGGCTTTTGTGCATAGAATTATGGGCATTGAAATTATTCCAAAAGTAATAAATAAGATAAAATTACATGTTAGGTCCATTAATTATTCCTTTATAGACAACATTAGTTACTTACCTTTTTTTAATATCTTAGCAATTTTTCACTTCCTTATCCTCTTTATGAATTTATTTTATTTTATTTCATTTTTCGTATAACAAATCATAACAATTCTTGTACATTAAATTTATTTTGATTGTCACTTATAACAATTTATTGGAAAAAGTATATTTATGGACGGTTTATTAAATACAATTTGTATAATTGTTATAAATACGAAGATTGACTACGATTTTAAAAAATAAAATTTATAGTATTGTTATAATTGAGAAAGTTTGATTTCTTCCTTTATGCACGAAATAACTACCACTCTTAATTTTATATTAATAGACGGTAGAATTAGTAGTTTAATTAAAAATATATATTATAATCTCTAATTTTGATGATTCAAAAGTATCACAATTGTTAATTTAAAAAAATTATAAAATACCTGTGGATACATAAAATGCACCTTTTTATAATTGAAGTTATGTTTGGGTAAGTGCCAACAGATTTTGATGTTACCTTAGAGGATTTGTTGAAATTATTTGTAAGTTGTAACCCAAATTTTTATTTCTTTCCCAAGTATCGCGTCTTTCCCAAAAACTTAATAACCATTTCACTCTCTCTTTTTGCATTCCAAATGTTGTGGCCACCGGTAACAACGTCAAGGACATCGGTAATTGACGACAATTTTGAAACCGTGGTAATTAATTATGATTTAAAAATTGCGGGTAAGTACCACAATCTACAACTACAAGTAAAACACTTGCGACACATAGATTTACAGTGATAAAACTAATCTTGGGTAATTTTATTAGCGCGGGTTTAAACTTTGTTAAAACCAAAAATAACTGCAGGTAAAACTACTTTTTCTTGTGTTTACTTGATTATCATTAGAAGTTGGATCAAAGTTAACACCATTTTGAAGCCTAGTATTAGCTCCTAATTTGAATTGAATTAGGAACCTTTGTAGAGAAACAATGTATGGAAGCATGGTTATAACAACGATATGAGCAACATACATAATGTAAAGACCTTCATATTCCACCTTATACCAAGTCCTTGGAATCAAATCCATATAAAAGTTTTTCAATCATCGTTTGAGAAACAAACTTAAGTGACCAAATTTAAACCAGTAATGATGAAAAATCATCCATGGTCCTCCTTCCATCACTTTCACCTTATCAGCTTCAAGGTCCAACTTAGTTTATAAAGAATTCATGACCAACATCCATTATGTCAAATTTTGTAGTTCTCTCTCAAGTAGTCTTTAACTTTTCCTTCATAGTAAAGAAACCAATATGCTTTCCTAGCAGCTTCCCCACTAGAAAATCCTTCCAAGGCAAACAAAGTTTGTTAATAACACTTTATTTGTTGCCTTCCCAACCTCAATCTTTGCAAGACTATTTTGGAATGGATCTCTTCTTTCTCTTACTATAAACATCTCTATTCTCCAACACTTCATCTCAAAGCAAGACTTTAATTCTCCCCTCACTACCCCCTTCAACCTAAGGCTTACCATTTAATTAGTCATTCTTTTAGGGTGCAAAGAAAAC